TCAGCTTTATAATTGAAGGGCCCATTTTTGCAATATGTCCCGGGTCTTCAAAAAGTCAGGACCGGGCCTGAGCATAAGCTATGATTAATATCCTCCATAAAATTTTGAAGTATTATATTCTACTTACCTACAAAGGGGTTATGCCCTCGTAACCGTAACTCTGGGTACTTCTTGTGTCAATCGTTTTCAATCTCCTAAGTTGTGTTTTTGGTCAAATGAGTTGACGTTACCATGCATTTTGACAATCTGACTCACGTTTTATCTAATTTGGGTCTCCAAGGTTCTAAGAAAAAGGTTTACTAGTAATGTCACTAGCTATCTCAGGTATACAAGTTCAAGTCCACTGAATCCTAATCATAGCTCTATTGCATATAAGCATAACAAAGTCTACATACCACGTACACAAATACGCATCAAAGAACCCATATTCATATGATCATATCACATGTCAACATGTCCGAAGTATGACAGCAAGATGAAATCGCACAATTCTCACTGCTTCCTACGAGGTCTTTCTTATTACCTAGTCATATATTTTCCTAGTATTTTAGAAAAACATTTGGAAAAAAAATCTCATTTGATCGAAAACCATAGGCTCTGATACCAATTGTAACACCCCGGGCCCGCAGGACCCGAAGTAGTTACTCCGGACCTCTAGTACTGTCCTCACAAACCACCACAAGCCTTTACCGCGCACTTTGTCCTCACTCATGCGCCCTGAGAAACTTCCCAGGGGGTCACCCATCCCAAGACTACTCCCGTGTAAGCACGCTTAACTTTGGAGTTCTTGGGTGATGAGCTCCCTTAAAAGGAGATGCACCTCTGTTGGTATGAGTAGTACTAATAATCCGTTTATATTAAATCTCAAGTGTTACATCCATTTTTTGAGGGCCTTTTTAAGCCTTTGAAGTTTTATTACCAAGCCTTGCATACCACCCCCTGTAAAGCTTTCATTCCAACTTTTCTCAACAGTAGGAAGGAAATCTTTATGAGAAAGCCACATATTTTGGAACTTAAAAGATTTTGGTCCTGTCTGAAAATTATTACTGCATTGCAAAAGCATAGGACAATGGTCTGAGGGGGACTGGTTCAGATTAGACAATTTAATTTGGTCAAAACAGTCTAGAAAGGCCTCATTCACTAGGCACCTATCCAGCCTTCTCCACAGCCTTCTCCTAGACCTAACCCCAGTCCAAGTATATTGACATCCAGTATAGGGTAGATCAATAAGATTGCAATGAGATATGCAGTTTTTGAAATCCAACATACTATCCAGATTAGGAATTGAAGCCCCAAAATGTTCAGCATTAGAAAGTATAGCATTAAAATCCCCTCCTACTAACCAAGGAATCTGAATAGTATCAGCAATATGCTCTAACTGATTCCACAATTCCCTTCTTTCCACATGGTTATGTTTAGCATACACTGCTGAGATCCAACAAGAAATGTCCCCACTAACTATTTTGAAATGAGTAAACTGTGCATTCCAAGAAATATCAGAGACCTTGACCAAATTTGCATCCCAGAAAATCCATACCTTATTTAAAGCACTGTAGGCAACATTAGAAAAACCAAAATCCATCTTAAAGCTATCAGCTTTGGTAATGTCTACCATAGGTTCAATAGCCACAAGAAAAGTAATCCTCCAATATTTAATTAATTGAGACAGTCTTGGCCCGGAGGCAGCCAGACCTCTCACATTCCAAAAGATACCATTCATTTGGAATGGGGAGGGTTAGTACTTGATTGCTTTCTAGCAACACTCCTTGTAATCCTTCCAATAGGTTGCTGAATAGGCATCTCTTTTTTCTTCCTTCTTCTTCTCCCAACCATAATGAATTCTCCTCCCTCATCAACATCCTGTTCTAGATGATTATTTTGTTCTGACAGAGCTGAAAGAAGCTCAGCATCATCTCTAGCCCTTCTGGAGTCAACTACCTGCTTAACTTTGGAGATTAAGCTAGGTAGAACATTTAACCAATCGTTCTTGCATTCAATTCTGTCAGGTGGCTCAGAATCAGACCCGTACTCTTTGGATGCAATCTCTGGATCAAATGCTGCCTGCTTCTCCATCAAAGGTATGCTAAAATCATCCTTGACTTTATCAACCTCCTTATTTACTGTCAGACCTGGGATATCAAGAAGTAAAATCTGGTTCAAATCTATTTCCTTTTTACCTGTACTGTCTTCTTTGTTGTATGAGTTAGGAGGCTCTTCATGAAAAACCTCTTCAATATCTGTGTCAGTGTCTTCGTGCAGGACACAGGCATCTAATTGTGGAGTCTTTTGCTGCAGTATGGTATATAGAGGATGAGATGTTGAAGGCAAAATCTGAGATGGGGAGAGAGCAGTCTGCGAAGTGAAAGACCACAATTTCTTTCCCCTTGTCTTTCTTTTGTAAATCACTCCCCTCCCCAGTATTCCTTGTAGTATTTGTAATGGTTTCCTGTGTGGATTTAGGAATCCATTTAGTTCCCTTTGAAAGATCAGGTGCCTGTATGCTCTGACCAGAACCCTGCTGGGTGGAATCATTACCCATCACCTTGGGGCATTTGTTTGCCTCATGCCCCAAGTGTAGACATGAAAGACAATATAAAGGCCTTTGCTCATAAACCACAGACTGGAAAAAACCAGTCTTCCCTGTCTGAATCCAGATCTTCTATGGCATTTCTTTGGTTAGGTCCAACTCCACACATACGCGTGCAAGAGATGGCCTGGCCAAAGTTGCAGTAGTAATATCCAACTTTAGAGGCTTACCAATTAAACTAGCAATCAGAAACATCGCCCTCTTATCCTGAAGATGAATTGGCAGACCCTCGAACGTCAACCAAACTGGAACAATGGGTGATTCCACGTTTGGCTTAAACTCTGGGTACCAGTTAGTAACTCGCATAACATTCCCAAATATATCCCACGTCTGCCTGTTCCAACATCTGATGTAATCTTCTTCCAGGTCAAAACGAATAAGGACAAGTTTCTTCTCCAACAAACCCAAATGGAATCCTCCCTTAAAGCCAATAATATCAAACGATTTGCGAATCGTAGTCATAGGAGGCCTACCTTTGAAGAAATAACCAACAAGAGATCGCTTGTGTTTATCACCCAACGTATTAAGATCATCCTCTGAGAAATTAACTGCTGGAACACCTTTGTAACATGAGAGAGAAGAGGTTGACAGAGCGGCGCCTTCCTTATTGAGAAGGACCGAAATAAAGGATCGCTTACTCCCATTCCATACATTACCCATCGGCGGCGGTTGAGCCGGCGACGGCGTAACCTCCTTAGGTTTAGAGCTCTCGTTCATTTTTTCTTTGTTTCAAAATGTACTTCAACAATTTTTTCTTTTCACGAACCTTACTTCATTATACTACGTATAATTGTTGTATTGAATATTATTTTGAGTGCACAACACGACAAAGTGCACGTCAGTTCTCCTCAAGGTTTTTTAAGCCTACTAGAGGGGTGAAACATGGGGACCCTCTCTCCCCTTTTCTTTTTATCCTTGCTTCAGAAGCTTTCTCTAGGGGTCTCAATGGTATGATGATGGAGGGCAAAATAAAACCTTTCTATTCTGGGAAACAGGGGATGAATATTTCTCACCTTGGGTTTGCAGATGACCTACTGATACACGTGTAATTTCCGTGTTTATGTTTGCATTTTTAGTTACTTTTTGTAGTTTAGCATTTCGGAAATTGCACACTTTTGGTGTAATAGTTTAGTTTGTTAGGTTCTTGTAAAATGTTTAGATTAGGTTTATTTTGAGCTCAAACAGGTCTGCCATCACTCAAAGGATAGTTGGTGAACCCCAAAAGTGAAAAGAAGGTGCAAAATCACAAGACAAAAAGGGAAAAAACCTGATTTTGGTCTATACTCGGTCGAGTATCACATATACTCGATCGGGTATCTGGTTGAAATTTCAAATCGGATCGGATCCGAAAACAAGGGAACATGCAGGAGAAGATTTTCCCACGATCGAGTGTCTATACCCGATCGGGTACACCGACATACTCGATCGGGTATAGCTATAAATTCTACCCGAATATCGATCGAGTATGGATCGAATTCAAAGTTTTACACATACTCGATCGAGTATATGTATATACTCGATCGAGTACCCGACCTGCACCTCAAAAAGCCTATAAATACACCTCCTTTCCTTCACTTTTAGATGACCAATTCCTTTATACTCTTAAGCTCAGTTTAGAATAGCATTTCTTTATATTTCTTTTAGCATGTTTAGTCTCCAAATGAGGAGCTAAACTTCCATTTCTTGGTATTGCTCTTGAAGCTTGTTGATTATTAAAGTTGTGAGTTATTTTCTTAATTTCTTTCCTTGAATATTAATTCTTCCTTCAAATACTATTTCTATATCAATGTTGGGGAGCGTTACTAAGATGACAATTAGTTAACATCTTGACATTGGTCTTAGTAATAGCTATTCCTTCCTCTATGTTAATATCGGGGAGTGTTACTAAGATGACAATTAGTTAACATCTTGATATTAACTATAGTAGGATTCATCTTCTTTAATATTCTTCCTTGAGTATTAATTAATTCCTATTCATATTTCATATTAATATTTTGAACATTACTTAAAGGATTAACTAGTTTTGTTTCACATATTAATTATTACTAGAAACAATCAACGAACCGATGGTTAATCGTTGATAGTTTCACAAGTAAGTAACTTCGGTTTATTAATGCACGGTCGTGGTTAATAAACTTAAGAGGGATTAATTTTGTTGGTTAAACCGAAACCGTTGTGTTGAGGTTATCAATCTCAATTGATTTCATCAAGGAGTTAAGAGATTAAATGCTACTATCAAGTCGGTATATGGCGTTGTTCTATACTTGACTAATAGTAAGGGTAATCAATGAATGGTCGTTGTTAATAACTATCCTCGATGAATTGGATATACTCCTCGATTGAGTATTCAAGAGGAGATAAGTTATAGATATAACAATGATCGACTAAAATATATCAACGAGTGTAAAGTAGCAATGCCAAGTCCCTTTTATCTTTGAATTAAATCACATATAACTCGTTCATCTTCTTGTTTAATTTAATTAAATTATTCAACAATCAAAACCCCCCTTTATTTATGATTTATATAAAAAGAAAGTTATTCCTTTCCCTGTGGATACGAACTCTACTTCACCTATACTACGTATAAGTGTTAGTATTGAATTTATTTTGAGTGCACTCACGACAAAGTGCACGTCACCTACTGATCTTTATGAATGGAGAAGCCAGATCTATTCTGAATATCAAGAGATTTTTGCATTCATATCAAGAGGCTTCAGGACAGATGATCAACTTGGAGAAATGTTCTTTTATATGTGGCAAGGCAGGATCAGCTAGACATTCCAGAATCATGAATCTACTGGGCATGAAAAAGGCATCCCTCCCAATTAGATACTTGGGGGTTAACCTGCACAAAGGCATAAATAGGTTTGATTACTGTGGGAACCTTATCACACAATTTGAGAATAAGCTTTCTCCATGGAAACAAAAAATCTTGCCACAAGGTGGAAGGCTAATTCTAATTAAACATGTACTAAATTCCATCCCATTGCATATTTTGGCAGCAGATACACTACCGAAAAAAGTTATAAGAGTTCTTAACTGCAAGATATCCTCCTTTTTTTGGGGCTCATCTGAGGTGAAAAAGAAATACCATTGGATAAAATGGGATAAGATCTGCCTGCCAACCATTGAAGGGGGTTTGGGCATTAGATCTTTGACTGACATTGAAAAAGCTTTTTCGCTAAAGCTTTGGTGGAAATGGAAATGTGAGGATAATCTTTGGACCCTGCTTATGAGAACTAAATATGAGAGAGGTGGTAACATGGTACCTAAGCTTACGGATTCTGCCACCTGGAAGAGAATCTGTTCTGTACATGCTCAAGCTTCTGAGCTTTGTACCATAGATCAATCTGGTAAAATCACCTGGGATGAAGAGGAAGATGGTCAATTTAGTTTTAAAACAGCTTATGAAGAAGTTAGGGAGCTTGCATTCAGTTCTAATTCTAATCAGCAGTTATGGGACTCCAAACTGGAACTTAAAGCAAAGCTTCTTCAATGGAAAATAAAAAAAGGCATACTACCCACCCCTGACAATCTTAGCAGGTTCTATTTGGTTCTTAACCCCTCTATATGCCCTCTGTGCAGGAATGACAGTGATGCAATGATACACATTTTTTTCCAATGCCCTGTTAGCAGGAAGGTGTGGCGGTACTTCTTGGGTGCTCTGAGTTTTTTCCAGGGTCCGGGCATAGACTATGGTAATTACCTGAATTGGAAATTTAAAATTAACAACAGAAGTTTGGTGGATTTGCTTAGACAACATCTCCCTCGGATCATTTGTTGGTTTTTATGGAAAACTTATTCATCCATAGTTTGGGGCTCAGGAGGAATAGCTCCACATCCGGACCAAATTATCATCCATATTAAACTCTACATCCAAACTTGGATGTCAAGTATTTCGATACCCAATATCAGGGTGATAGAACCAATTCTTTTTGAAGATGGTTTCATTCCTAGGGATTTTAAACTCAGAGAATACAGGCCTCAGATAATTCGATGGAATAAACCAAAAGACAAGTGCAAACTCAATGTAGATGCAAGTTACTTATTTGCCAAAGCATATGGAGGTGCGATTTTAAGAGATAGAAATGGTGGTTTTGTGTCGGCCATAAACTTTCCCCTGCAAGCTCGGTCTCCTATCGATGCTGAACTGCGGGCTATTTTCATAGCGATGAAATGGGCGACTGAGGCTGGGCACAAGGACTATTGTGTGGAAGCTGACTCTTTGTTGGCGATTCAGTACATTGAAAGGGAGGAGGGTAGACGATGGCTGGATCTGTTTCAGGAAATATCACTGATGCGAAATAGGCATCAGATTTCATTCGGGCATGTTAAGCGAGAAGGGAATTGGACTGCTCATTTTCTGGCCCAAGAAGAGGTGATCAGTTTATTTCATTATTCCCTTGTGGATCAACTCCCATTATTTGCTCAACGTTCCTTTTGGATGGATTTCTTTGGCATCCCGTGTATTAGAGAGTAATCTTTTATTTTGTTGTATTTGTCGGGTAAGGTTTGGCCCCCCTGATTTGTATTAACTCATTATCATTAATAATACACCGGTAAGCGTCCCCCGGTGTTTACCCCACTGATTTTGGTGGTTGACCTTCCGGGGTAAAAAAAAAGACAAAAATAGTTGATCCTTTAAGTAATGCTCAAAATATTAAAATGAAATATGAATAGGAATTAACTAATATTCAAGGAAGAATATTAAAGAAGATATAAATCCTACTATAACTAATGTCAAGATGTTAACTAATTGTCATTTTAGTAACACTCCCCAACATTAATATAGAGGAAGAAAATAGATACTACTCTAACTAATGTCGAGATGTTAACTAATTGTCATCTTAGTAACACTCCCCAATATTAATATAGAGATAGTATTAAGGGAAAAATTAATATTGAAGGAAGAAGATTAAATAAAATAAATCACAACTTACAATTCATTAAGCTTCAAAGTAGCAAAATCAGGATGGAAAGACTACCTAAATTACAAGAATAAAGTGTATATGAAAGAGGGGATTAAATTGGTATCTAAAATAGGAAGGAAAGAGGTGTTTTATAGGAGAAGTTGACGTGCACTTTGTCGTGAGTGCACTCAAAGTAAATTCAATACTAACACTTATACGTAGTATAGCGTAGTAGAGTTCGTATCCACAGGGAAAGGAATAATTCTCTTTTTATAGAAATAGTAAATAAAAGGGGGGTTTAGGATTGAATGATTTAATTTAATTAAACAGAAAGATGAACAACTTAAATGTGATTTAATTCAAAGATAAAAAGGACTTGGCATTGCTACTTTCCACTTGTTGATATATTTTAGTCGATCATTGTTATATTTATAACTTATCCCCTCTCAAATACTCAATCGAGGAGTATATCCAATTCATCGAGAGTAGTTATTAACAACGACCGTTCATTAATAACCCTTACTATTAGTCAAGTATAGAACACCGCCATATACCGACTTAATAGTAGCATTTAATCTCTTAACTCCTTGATGAAATCAATTGAGATTGATAACCTCAACACAACGGTTTCGGTTTAACCAACAAAATTAATCCCTCTTAAGTTTATTAACCACGACCGTGCATTAATAAACCGAAGTTACTTACTTGTGAAACCATCAACGATTAACCATTGGTTCGTTGATCGTTTCTAGTAGTAATTAATGTCAAGATGTTAACTAATTGTCATCTTAGCAACACTCCCCAACATTAATATAGAGATAGATTAAGGGAAGAATTAATATTCAAGGAAGAAGATTAAATATGAATAACCCTACTATAAGTAATGTCAAGATGTTATCTAATTGTCATCTTAGCAACACTCCCCAACATTAATATATAGAGGAAGAAAATAAATACTACTATAACTAATGTCAAGATGTTAACTAATTGTCATCTTAGCAACACTCCCCAACATTAATATATAGATAGATTAAGAGAATAATTAATATTCAAGGGAAGAAGTTAAGAAAATAACTCACAACTTTAATAATCAACAAGCTTCAAGAGCAACACCAAGAAATGGAAGTTTAGCTCCTCATTTGGAGACTAAACATGCTAAAAGAAATATAGAGAAATACTATTCTAAACTGAGCTTAAGAGTATATGGAAATTGGTGTCCTAAAAGTGAAGGAAAGGAGGTGTATTTATAGGCTTTTTGAGGTGCAGGTCGAGTACTCGATCGAGTATATATACATACTCGATCGAGTATGTGTAGAACATCGAATTCGCCCTATACTCGATCAATACTCGGGTAGTTTTTATAGCTATACCCGATCGAGTATATAAGTATACCCGATCGGGTATAGACACTCGAACGTGGGAAAATCTTCTCCTGCATGTTCCTTTGTTTTCGGATCCGATCCGATTTGAAATGTCAACCAGATACCCAATCGAGTATATGTATATACTCGACCGAGTATAGACCAAAATCAGGATTTTTCCTTCTTTTTGTCTTGTATTCTTGCACCTTCCTTCACCATTGATCATTTGATTGATCTTGGACCTGTTTAAGCTCAGAATAAACCTAATCTAAACAAATTACAAGAATATAACAAACTAAACTATTACACCGAAAGTGTGTAATTTCCGAAATATTAAACAACCAAAACTATCTAAAAACGTAAATAAACACACGGAAATTACAAACGTATCAACTCCCCCACACTTAATTCTTTACTCGTCCTCGAGTAAAGTTCAATGTTTACAAGTGTAAAGACTCCCGAGTTCCAATAGATTCAACAAGATAAAAACACAAAGACCACCAAGGATAAAATACGAGTTCTAATGCTAAATATCATCTTGGGTTTTATGGTCTTCTAGTGTTCATCTTTTCTTCCTCTTCTCCTTTTTCTTCTTCTTCTTCCTCTTAGAGATCAAATGAGTTCCTGCACACAGAAAAAAAATATTTTTCTCATATCTCTCATTTTGCCTAGGAGCCTTTTCAGGTTTTCATCCTAGCATCTCTTTTCTTTTCCTCTCTCACCACTCACTCATTTTATTTTGTAAGCCTTTGTTGCTTAGATTGCCCATTTTGTTGGGTTTTCAACCTAACTAGCATTTATTTTCTTTTATTCTCTTTTTTTTTTTGTGTAACTTATAGTACAAGAGAATAATGCTTAGTACAAGGTAGAAAAAACAGTAAATGGAACATACCAAAAGAAGTAGTCCTCCCCCACACTTAGTTTCGCACTGTCCCTAGTGCCCGCCTTCTCCGCCGTAGTAACTGCCTCCAAAGCCGCTTCCAAAGTCTCCTCCAAAGCCCCCGTCGCCCATGTGAGCATCCCCGCCGTCATAACCTCCACCCCCGGAGCTAGATCCTCCAAAGTTACCCCATTGAGATGGGTCATACCAAGAGGGGGGTGGGGGTGGCTGAGCCATAGTATGGAATTGGCCTTGTTGAGCCATGTAAGAGTACATAGGTCCATAGAACCTATGTTGGTCTTCTTCATAACGCCGGTTATCTTCTGTCCTTTGCTCTTCTAGCCTTAGAAATCCAGCCTTTTGTTCCTCTCGATACTTACCAACTTCATTAGTAACTCTATTAAATCCGTCAAGGAGTTGTTGGAAGTAATCGGGAGGTGGGGAAGCTTGGTTAGGTGCGGGCATGTGGTGGTGTGCAACCTCGGGTTCTTGGTACTCGGGTTGAGGCTCTTGGTACTCGGGTTGAGGCTCTTGGTCGGGTTGGTTTTCGGGGGGATCTTGGGCTTGTGGTTCTTGGAGATGTGGTGGTAGGGCGTGAGGGAATAGGTAGTGGGGTACCTCGAACTCCGGCCTGTAGATGATTTTGGGAGTGTCGGGGTTTGGCAAAAGGAAGTATTGGACCGGTTGGACGTGTATGATCCAGTTGTACATGTGTTTTGGTTGGTCTCCAATGTACACTGTATGAGAAAAAGAGGTGCAGCCTGATCGGCCTAACCAACCTATGTCCATCAAACAATATTCGGGTATAGGAGAGTTATCCGTATACCCGAATTTACCGGCCAAGTGCATAATTACCCCTCCCAAAACAATGGCTCCTTTGGCTACGCTTTCTTTCTTCAGATGTGCCCACATGAGATTGCACAGATTAAAGTCTACGTGACGACGGAATAGGGCCACGGACATCAAACAAACGTCCCCAATTCTAGTGTGATGGTTGTTGGGACGGCCAAGCAAGCAATTGGCTAAGAATTTCAAGAATATCCGGAGGACGGGGTGTTGGACATGACTAATATACATTTGGGAGGAGTTAAAACTCACTTCCCCGGTCATCTTTGTCCATAGGGAGTGCCCAAAAATGGTGTTATCCGAGATGGCTCTCTCGTAGGGCACCGGGATACCAAAGTGTTCAGCAAATTCGAGTTTCGTTATTGAATAATTTCGGTTAAACAGACGAAACTCGAGTCTATCATCCCTAAAATCCGTCTCATCACTTTCAAACTTTACCGAACTTAAGAATTCGTAGATAATTCGTGCATTAGAATTGTGTTTCATATTGAAAATACGGTCCATATCTAATGCATGAAAGAATTTTCTACAACTCTTATAGACTCCTAATTCACGTAGAGCATCATGGCATAGAAAACGGGAAGGTTTTACTTGCCTTTTTGTTGTTGCTAGGAGTCTAGTTCGGTGTTCGGCGTCGGCGGGAATGATGTCTTCAAAGTCCGGGATGGGTGCTATGGTGATTGAGCTCTCTCCCCTATTCTTCCTTGGTGCCATTGTTGATGAATTAGAGCTTGAAGAGGCAAAAATTCGAATGGGGTAGGGTTTTTTTGGGATTTGGTGGAAGTTTGGGGAAAAATGGATTTTTGGGTATAGATATGGAGAGGAGAGGAAGGGGAGTATTTTGGTGGAAGAATGGGTTGATTTGGTGGAGAATTGAGAGAGATATGGTAGAGAGAAGGGTTGAAAATGGAGTTTGGGGGAGAGGTTGTTCGAAATTGGGGAGAGTTTGGGGAAGATGAAGTGTTTTTGGGGTTAATTTGGTGTTATATCCGCAGGGGTACCCGATCGAGTATCCCTGTATACCCGATCGGGTACAGGAGACAGGGGCTGGGAAACTGGCTTTTCTGAGCATACTCGACCGAGTATTAACCTGTACTCGATCGAGTATTAGAGGCAGGAATGAAATAAAGTTCTTTTTCCCGTTATACTCGACCGAGTATGATCATGTACTCGATCGAGTACTGGAGACAGATTTTTCCTTCCTCTTATTTCAGTTCATACTCGACCGAGTATAGAAATATACCCGATCGAGTATGCTCCCAGACACTTCAAAACCTGCATTTTCTTCTTCTTCAAAA